GGCAGTTTGTGTTTTTTTTTTTTTTTAATAATTTATTTACGTTAATTAATGTTTATATATATATATATATATATTTTTTTTTTTTTTTTTTTTGGAATTTTCATTCTCTCGACATTTGTTATTATTATTATTATCACCATTACGACCTCCCCAATATTTATTCTCGCGAGTAATTTTCAAGAGATTTAACAACATAATAATAATAATAATAATAAAAGATATTTCGTGAGCCATTTTTTTCATTTTCTTTACTTATTTATTTTAAAAAAAAAAAAAAAAAAAAAAAAAAAACGTTAAATACTTAACGCGTAAAAATGTTAAAAAAGAAAATTAATTCAAATGTAAAATTAAAAAAAAAAAACAAAATGGAGGAAGAAGAAAAAAAATTTTTTTTTTTTGTTAAATTGTAACGTTTTAACTTTTTGCTCCGGAAACCATAAAAATAAATTTTAATGTTTTATATATAAATTTTTTTTTTTTTTGTCGGGCCCAGACGGATTAATAATTTTATGTTTTTTTATTTTATTTTATTTATTTAAAAAAAAAAAAATTGAGTTTCCGCCATTTTGTTTTTCATTTTTTTTATTCAAATTAATTGTCGGCGGTTTTGTTTATTTTATTCTTGTTTTAAATAAAAAATAATTAATTATTATTATTATTATTATTAATATTTTTACTTTTTTTTTTTGTTAAATTGGTATCTCTTAATTTAATTTAACGTTAATTATCATGTTTTTTTTTTTTTTTTAACGAACCACTAGATCGTTTTTATTTATTTATTTATTTGTTTCCGTTAAAATGTTAATAATAATAATATTAAATGATATTTAATCGAAAAAGAAATAAAAAAAAACAAAATGGCTGTTCGCGTGTGAGTTATTTTTTTTATGTAAATATATCGATTTTAAATAATAATTTTTCTTTAATTATACTTTTCGATTTACCAAAAAAAATTTGGGGGGGCGAGGGGAAAGGTCATAACGGTTTTTATTATTATTATTATTATTCAAAAGGCGATATTAAATTTTTGGGAATAAATTAAAAAAAAATAAAAAAATTAATTAAAAGGCATCGACGAGTATTTTTCTTTTCAAAATGGCACACACTTCGAGAGAATGAAAAATAAAAAAAAAAAAAAAAATTAATCGAATGACAAAATTTTTACCATCTCACAAATCGTGTAATAATAATAATAATAATAATAATAATAATAAGCACACGATTTTCGAATTTTTAAATTTAAAAAAAAAAAAAAAACTCGCGCGCGTAACGGTTTCGTCCCGTTCGTAAATTTAATTTATCCGACGTCTAAAAAAAAAAAATAAATAAAAATAAAAATCATTATTATCATTATAATCATCATCATCATCATCATTATTATTATTATTATTATTATTTCTCTTTTATTTTATGTTTCGTCATAAAAATTTATTTTCGTTTAATTTTTATCGATCCATCGATTTATTACATAAATCGATCCATTAATTTTTATTTATTTATTTATTTAGAATTTATTTTCTCTATGCTTTACTCTAACGATAAAAAAAAAAAAAAAATAATAATAATAATAAAATAATAAAAAATTTTAACGTTCATGTTTAACATTACATCACCGACTACGAATCTATAACTTTAATAATAATAATAATAATAATAATAATAGTAATGATAATTGATAATTAATAATAACAATAACGACTCAATCGTTCGTTTAATAAAAAAAAAAATATTATTAATCATTATTATTATTATTATCATTATTATAATAATGGATAAATTTATTAATTTTTGAGCTCTAATATATTATGTGTATATATATATATATATATATGTATATGTATATGTATAACGCTAATATCATTTATGTATTACATAATTATTTATTTATTTATTTATTTAATAACTAACACAACAAAATAATTTTTTTTTTTATAAATATAAAATTATGCTATGTATATACGCACGAGCGTAATAAAATTTCGTACGCATTTTACGCGTTTTAATAACGCACGTTTCGAATATAATCCAATCAATGGAAAAAAAAAAAATTTAAATTAAATTAAATTAAATTAAATTAAATTAAATTAAATTAAAATTGCAGTCTAAAATTTGAATTATTTTTGTTTTATTATTAACGCGTGGGTGATGGGTGGTGTGTGTGTGTGT